TGAGTGAATGGGAAATTAATGCAAAACCCAAAGGAGCTTGGTCTAGGGCTGCTGAACTCCTGTAGGGCCCCTGGAGGAGACATTTCCAGCTCTCCACCATGCCCATCCCTCTCTCAGAAGAAAGAGATCTCATACAAGCCATTAATAATAATTTCTCCACGGGCCTCCTGGAGGCTGATGCTCAGTTTTGTGCTGCTGTGAGCTGACCCAGCACCCTCCAACCAACCAATGCATTCTGAAGGGTGGGAGAAGCTGGCTAATGTCCCAAAAGTGGGAACGGCCACCCTGGAGTTGGCCGCTCTTGCTCAAACCTCATTGCTACAAGTCAGCCATGTCCTGCTCACGACAGGCCAGGAGCTGGTACTGCAGCACCAAAACACACTCAGAGTCCTCCTGTGACCCCACAAACTTCACCCTGACCCTCACTGGGAGAGCCGCTCCTCGTGGCAGAGCCACCAGTACAAGGAGCCTCCCAAAAAGTGCAGCCCCTGGGGAAAAAAGTGGCTGCTCCTGGCCAACCCCATCAGAAGGGACTTCTGTCTCAAGAACTTTCCGCTGGTCAGTAGGACCTTGCGCAGTAGCAATGCTGCCGAGAGCAGCACAGCGCCGGTAACACATACCTTACAGCGTCTTTGCAAACGTGCTTTTGCATGGTGCTTTACAGTGAGCTTCCCAATGTCTTCTGACAACCTTTGCGACAGCGCACAGAGGGACATCGCCTCCCGGGCATCTGGTTTAATAGTAACAGCAGCCGACCAGGACACCTGAGGGGTGGAATGTAGGCAGGTGGAAAAGAAAAAGGATTAAGCCATGAAAGATATTGAAGTACAGACCAGCCAGCTAAAACAACCAACCAAACCTGGTGCTGAATATGCTCACTCTTCGTTATCAGGAACTGAAGTGTATTTGTTTATTTATTCAGTTTTTGATACACCAGTCTACTCAATACATTTTTTGACTTAATTTAACAAGCCTGTAAAAATACAGCACTTCTTATTTCAATAGATAATGTTATTACATGGGTTTATTTAGCCAGCGTAATTTTCTCCCCAAATCTCCATAGTACTTCAAATTTTTTTTCCTGTCTTGGTGAAGGATAAAGCTCAGCAAATATTTAGTAACGGATAATTAATTCAACCACTTCTTTCCCATCTCCTCTGACACACTAATTCACTGAATGTTGTTTAACACTTCTTTCTTTCTTTCTCTTCTTTAGTTAGCTTCTAAACTATTTTTAATAGTTTCTGATATCTGTAATATGAACTGTTTTGAATGGACATAGGCCACAGATTATATTTGCCCGATGGGGCAGAAATACTTTCTAGATTCTTGGTTTCTCTCGGGTTTCTTTGCTTGTAAGGTTCCTGAGAAAAAGTTATACAAGTAAGGCATAAACTCAAAGGAAGCACATTCACTCTCAAATGCAGAGCACGCATGGAAAGCAGCTGCCCAGCCCTACTGTAGATACTGAGGTTTGTATTTTGTATTAAGAAGGTAGTGCCTAAAGGTCCCAGCCTGCAACCCAGCTTTCATAGGCCTGCTCGCTCCCTGGGGTCACTTCTGTATCCAGCAAGAGCTCAGCGACCGCAGCCAGCTCCCGCTGCACCACTGGTACCTGCATGCTCGTATTCAGGGAGATGAGAGACTTGAAACACATCTACTATATGCATGAAGTCTTACCTTCTTATGGAACTTTGCTTAACCCATTGTACAATGAACTAGTAAATACAGTCAGAAAACTTTCCATCTGTTTTTTTCTTTTTTTTTACCAGTTGCTACCCAACTCATGTTATCATCAGCCCGTGCCGATGGGCAGACATGTAGCAATCACAGACAACGAATGTCAACATCATAAGCCATATACAAACAGGCCGTTAACCTTATACTCACAAGCTCCTCCACTCCTCCATATGACACTGACAATAAAAGTGCCTTAAGCCTTTTTCTGATAAAGTGCTTTCTGTGCAGTAAGTGAAACAGGTACGGCACGGAAAATTTTACTACCTCAGACATAGCTGTGTTACAAATGTGCGTGTGGTTTGGCAGTGTAACCTTTTATTCTGATAAACTATTAAATGCCAAAGAAAGCTTTTTAAGTTAATCAGGGCTTAATTTAAATAAACAAGCCACCAAAAGATTAACAAAGAACCTCAATGGAATCTGAATACAAAAAATCATCTGTTGACAAAGTCATGGGCCAAGTTCATAAAAGCGACTGCACTGGGATGAAACTGGCCCACTGACACCCTTTTTCTCCCCTTATTGGCACCACCGATGAAAAAGATGTTAATTTTCTGAAACACCAACTGTCGTGGTTTAACCCCAGCCAGCAACCCAGCCCCACACAGCCGCTCGCTCCCTCCCTCACAGTGGAATGGAGGAGAGAATTGGAAAAGCAAAAGTGAGAAAACCCATGGGCTGAGATAAAGACAGTTTAACAGGTAAAGCAAAAGCCATGCACGCAGGTAAAGCAAAATGAGGAATTCATTCACTGCTTCCCATGGGCAGGCAGGTATTCAGCCATCTCCAGGAGAGCAGGGCTCCAGCACATGTTAACAGTTACTTGGGAAGACAAACACCATCACTTCGAACATCCCCCCCTTCCTTCTTCTTCCCCCAGCTATATATATTGCTGAGCATGACATCGTATGGTCTGGAATATTCCTTGGGTCAGTCGGGGTCAGCTGTCCCGGCTGTGTCCCCCCCCCAACTTCTTGTGCCCCCCCAGCCTCCTCGCTGGTGGAACAGGGTGATAAGCAGAAAAGGGCTTGACTGTGTGTAAGCACTGCTCAGTAGTAACTACACCGTCCCTGTGTTATCAGCACTGTTTTCAGCACAAATCCAAAACACAGCCCCATACCAGCTACTGTGAAGAAAATTGACTCTATCCCAGCCAAAACCAGCACACCAACACAACTATTGTCAGCTCCACTGATGCAAACAGCAGTTTTGGCAACATCGTCACAACCGCATGTACTAACGCTGCATGTGAGGAGGAGGAAGAGGAGGAGGAGGCGGGATGACTCCATTTTTGTGATGGAGTCAGCTGAACCCTCCAGGAAGAGCCCCGGACCTGCCCGAGCTGAAGCCCCCGGCGTTACCGACCGTGTTCGCAGCCACAGCAGAAATTCCCGCCCCGGGAGCACCCTGCGGGATAGGGAAGCGCTCGGGGCGAGAGCAGCAGTCCTGCGGGGAACTTCACTGCAACAAGCCACCGCTCCGATGAGCAGGGCTCCTCGTAGTAGGTAGGTTATGTGTATGCATACATATTCACATGTTCGGCACCTAAACAGGGAAAGATAATAATTTAAAAACTCTCATCTTAGGCCCAATATCGTTATTTTATCCCACAAAGGCAATAAATGACCAAACCTTGGTGAACAAAACATGCCAGGCTGGAGCCCATACAAAATATCTTTGGGCCAACATGCTATATATATCAGGTTCTTCATTAGATAGTCGTTATTTAATTCTGTTGCTCTACAGACTCTCTCTTAGTGCTTTCAGTACTATGACTGGTATATTTTCAACTATTATCTTTTTCCAGTTGCAAAGCCATCTTCTTCCTTTTTTTTTTCCCCATGAAAGCTGCTGATTGTCTCCTAAATGCCTTAATTTCATGAAAAAGTCTTGTTATTTTAAGTGTACATTTTTCCATTCATTTATTTACAACCATCTTTGCTAAGCTGAAAATTTAAGCTTGAGTTCAATAAAATCGATACATTAAAGAAGAATATAAAAATATTCACAGAGCCAGAATCTAGGGTAGGATAGCTACAAAAAACATTTCTCCACAACGTTTCACTTGCCCGTGGGCAAAAATAGTTCATTTTGACATGACAAAATTTAACACCTCTTTTGCTTGCTTTTTCGTTACTCAGACCATGCTAAAAATAGGTACAAAGAGACCAGTTGATGACTAAAGAAAAACATTCTATTTAATCACAACATGTACATCCAAAATAGAAATTACAAAGCTGCATTTCAAAACGCATTCACAACGCCACTCTGCCACGGTCAATGCGCCAGACGCAAAGTTCTTGCAAGCTACTGGCAAAAAGGAAATTCCAGCCACGGACAACTCGCTGACAGGCATCAGGTGAAAGGAAGACCAGACGGGCAGCAGGGCACGGAGAGGCAGGAGACCACCCCAGGCAACTGCAGCTCTGCAGCTACCCTTCGCGGTCGTTCACTCCCTACTTACCTCTCCCACCGGCTCCCAACATCTCCTGCCTTCCAGAGTGGTTTTGACCTTTCTTTCCTGACCCGTTGTGCCAGGCTAATGTGAGACTGTTTCCTACATCGTTACTTCGTATTGAAATGTTTTGCACACAAGGCATTTCGAAGGTGCGATTAGGCCCATCAGCAATGTAACCGTATTTTACACTTGGGCAAGCACTTCAGTTTATATTGCACTGAAACTGTCCTTCCATAGAGAAACTTGCCTGAGGTCACTGAGGAAGCCTGTGGGAAAGCTAGGAAAACAGCCCCTCGTTGCAAAATTCCACTAGCTGCAGGACCATCACTTCTCTCTTTCATATTAAAGCAGAAAGAAATTTATATATTGAAATCCTCATTGTTATGCTCCTCAGATTGCTTCATTTTCTGTTTCAAATAGTCCTCTCTTTCTTTAGATTCACCTTGGATCTCAAGTTTCCTCATGTTAGAAACGTGTTATAACCAGCGACAAACGCAAAGCTCCCATTCTCAGACTGTGCTGCTGGTGACTGGGAGCAATTTTACATCAAGTACAAAGTGTACCACTTGCAGGGGAATATGAATAATACCACGCTGCTGCTTTAGTACAACTACATCTCTGCACAGAAAAAACCCAATGGCACAAGAAACAGTAAAAACCAAAAATATCTCATCTCCTTTTCCTTCTGCCAACGTTCCCAGAGCTGAACGGAATTCAAAGATACCGAATATAAATGATTAAATAAAAAGGCAAATGAAGTTTCTTCTTGGTCAAAATAAAGTATAGCATCAGTTTGGCAGCTTCCATGTCCTCTGTCAGGGAATTAGTACTTAACATTTAACATCTCCAAAGTGCTGTCCATCAATTGCCTTATTAACCTGACACTTGCCAGCCCCATGCATGGTCTCTATCACCACGGTGCAGGAAGTTTCTTAATTCTAATGACCACATTCAGCCTTTCTATGGCATGAATGGTGGGTTATTTCAGTTTTTTCCTCCCTGCCAGTGAGCGCAGTGGCAGCAATCCCTCAATCCATTCATTCGCAGCTGACATCATCTCCTGCCAAAAGGCCACCTCCTCTTGCGTGGAGTCCATCCAGTCCACAGAGATGCCATAGCTCAAACCTGAAAAGAACAAGAAAACTGCAATGTTGGGAGCTACACAAAGAGTTTCTATCCCACGCAAAAATACTCAATGGGATGTAACTGTTGCAGGCAGTGCCTTAATGTAAAAAGTGCTGGCCTCCCCTCAGCAAGTTGCGCTCTAAATACCTCCTGTTCTTCTGCTAATGAACTCCCTTTTACACCAGAGTTCAGAATGAAGTCAATGTAAAAGCCACAAAATGCAGGAACCCTAAACATAACCTGCCAAGGGAAGCAATACTGGGCTCAAGTGCTTTCTGCATCTTTTGGCATGGCAAAGAAGGTCTAAAAGGCTTGTTTCCCCTTAAAAGACCTTCTTGTGGACAGGGTGGGGTATTTGTCAAAATTGTCTTGCTCTACACTTCATTTGTGTATGAAGCAAATATATGATAGGGGAAAAGTGTGTACATTAATTCCAAGCTGATCATTCAACTAAATTTTCACATGCCAACTACTTATCAATGAGATAAAGGTCTAAATTCGGATCACAGCTTATCTTGGGGTTGGTATTTTTATATCTTGCTTATGAGCTTATTCTTGTTGCCCCTTCCCACTGGATAGTTCACAGCCCTCCCAGTAACATGTTAGAGATTGAAAACAGAGAACACACAAGCAAATCCAGTACACACAGGCACACCTGCAAGGCAGACCTTCCAGCTACTATGAGACTTCTCCTGATACCCTCAAGGAACTGTTATCCTTTACTGCAACATTCTGGAATCTTTTTGCCTTTCATCTCTCAAAGAGCCCTCTTGCTTTACAATAAATAATTTAGAAAACCTTAGATACCCTACTTACAAAAATAAAAAGATGAACATGCTATCCGTTAAAGCCTAGGTACGGGGTACACTGAAAGCTAGGATAGGATGTTTAGAGAGGGACAAACCTTGATGCTGGACAGCTGGACAATGGGAGATAGTCCCACCTGCTCTTTACAACTGTGGCTTAAAAATACTGGAATTTTCCTAACTTCGAGGATGAGTAACCCCATTGAAGTAAAACACTTCCAGCTAAGCACAAGTCTAAGTCCTTCTCTGAACTGGAACCTCATGCCATCAACTCCCAGAGACAGTGACTGTCTCTCAGAGGAGCAAATGGCACCTCTGCTGAGGTCTTCAGCACTACATCACCTAAATAAAAACAAAACAAAACCCCAACAATAACACCTTAGTCTACACCCGGACAACTCCATTCTTCCAATCTGTGATTTAATTCCAGCTGGTGTACTCTCAGGACTGACTACCTACCAGATCAACCAGTGTAGCTCGCCCTGTTTTTCAAGTGTTAGTTATTCCTGCCACTAAAGCATTTCGAGGGAGGAGGTGATGTGGACAGAGTCACCAGGTGGTGCTGTCCCACATGGCATTCATGTTGTCTTCATCTCTGAGCACTCTTCCCTGGGAGCAGCAGCAATATAATGTTGATTTGTAACGCTGTCTCTTTTTCTGTAACAGCAGGAAAACTCTCTGATGGACCCAAGGAGATTCTTGAGTTTTACCAGACCTCAGAGCTGATGCTGGCAGAAAATGTGGGAATAGAGGGTAGCTGTCATGGTACCAGGGCCCCCTGCATCCCAGACACAGTGCAAGTACCAAGACTCTCACTAATTACTGAGACTCCCCATCCCTGGTTTCTCCCCAACAGGAAGATGCTCTGCAAATTCCCATTTTATCCTGTGGCTCAGCAATATGGTAACAGTATTCATTTAATGTAAAGGAAATCACTTACCTGTCCCAAGGCCCAGCCTGATTCCTCCAAGGAAATGGTTGGTAAGTTTTTCATGATCCCACACAGTCAGTTCTACACAAGCATCCTTTAGATCCTCTGTATGAAAGCCATCATATACAATAGTGTGATTGAAAACAGGGTTTGTGTCTCTTTTTATGACTCGGGTCTTTTGGTAACTCTTCTTACTGGTGTCTGGAAGCACATAGCTTTGAGAGGAGAAAAAATACAGCATGTGGTATTGAATATCACCTGAGATTTGAATTGTTCCTACAAAGTTCCTCAGTCTAAACAAGCCTCAGTTCTGAAGAAAGGAGGAATTGGGTCTCAGCATAAGAAATCTCTGTAGATTTAATAGGAAATGTTCATAATTTCTGGATGAAATTTTTTTTTTGCTAAGAAAATCCATTTTAAAAGCATTTTCAGAAAGGGACGTACTTGCTTAAAATTTCCTGCTTTTGGAAAATTTTTTTTGCAAACTGACATTTTACATTAAAAAATGGACATTACTTTCACACATTTATATTTTCATAAATTTTCATCACTTAGATGCCTAAGACAGCATTTCAAAATGGTCAGTTAGGCTTCTTGAGCAACAAACCTTTCTATAGAACTCTGTAAGGTTTTAAAATATACAAAAACCATGGTGATCACTTCAAAGTGCTGAAAAAAATCTTAAAATCCCCTTAAAAGATTTTTAATTTTCTGGAATATTTGCAGCACCTTCTCCCATATAGCAGGCAGAACTGATGTTGCAGGCTGCAGAAAACACGCACATACTAAATTCTGGAGAAGATCAAAGCAAGATCCAACTGTCCGTATGTCAGATCTGGCAAGTCCCTAACAAATTCCCAAATTTTGCACGCAAGCCCATATCAAGGCAAAATTCACAACTTCACATGAACACACTGGGCCGAGGTGCAGGGCCCACTTATTCCTCTCACTCAGATGTTATTGAGGCAAATCACTGAGTGAGTCACAGACAGTGATTGACCAAGAGCTTTACCACAGCAAGGGTTTTCCTAACTTGGCCACGAGTGAATAACAAGGGCAATTCTCTCCTACAGAGCCCAATGCAACACAAAGGCTTTACAGTATGGAGGCATAGCTAGGTTACCTGAGAAAAGAGAAGAAAACATACTGCTTTGTGGAGGCGCAGACCCAGGATCAAAGTCAGTATCATGCTCATGCACTTACCATTTCACAAAGGAGTCAACTCCAGAAGGACGCAACTGCAGCAGGTCCTTGACGTCTTTGACCCAAATGTGAACTTCGCCAGAGGGAGGATTCTTGGGACCTGCCATTTAGGAGAAGAGAAAAACTGTCAAGCCAGTCCTTACAATAGCTAGCAAAATGACAGGCTTTCTCTCCAGGGACCTGAGGGAGCAGCGACGTGACTTCTCTGCATAATCACTCCCTCGCGAGCTCTGCACCCCTCTGTCTGGGTGCCACAGCACTACCACCAGCCCCGTCACGCTCACAGCTGCAGAGAGCTCCTGACAAAACGCGCCGGTGCTGCTTTGAAACAGGTAAGGAGAAACTGCTGGGCAAACCCAACCTTGTGCCTGCCCCACAGTAAGAGGGGCTGTGTGTGTTGCTGCTACCACATCACAGTGCCCACGGTGCTCCTAACAGCTGATGAGTTTGAGGTTGTTGAGCCCTTCCTCTCTCCCCAACACTTTACCAATAAATCCAGATGTGAAAATCAGATGTAGGCTGCAACAGTGCTATCAAGCGCTGCTGGTTGTGCCTTTGTGCTGATCTCTAAGATCTTGCTCTAATGAGATTACTCTTTAACCAGCCCTTAAATACATGAGGCATTGCAACCTGCATGCCTACATACAGGCAGTACTTCTTAATGCATGAAACACATTTTACCTAGGCTTCCCGGAGGGACATACTTAATAGACAAATTCATCACTCCTCGATGATCCACACCGTTAACAGCAGAAAGGCTCTGAAACAGAAAGAGTTATGATTGACTAAACAAGGGATTGTGTAAACATAGCAAGGCAAGCAGCTTTTGAGTTCAATGGAAGGGCACAAATGGACAAACTCTGATTTTGCATGGCTTGGGGCAGCCCGTTCCCAGGGCAGCTCCTTTCTTTGTGGCTTTGTGCTCAAACTCAGTCCCTCAGAACCAAAAGCCTGAGGATTCGGAGCCAGGCTGCCCTTCCAGGCATGTCCACCTGGACGTAATTAAGCATCTTAGTTCCGAAAGACAAATGTCCTTTATTATTTGAAAAGGGATCTCAAATCAGACCTCTGAACCCAGAAGCATGCAGGAAGCTTTACAGGCTTCTCAAAAAGTGGCACCTGAATATTTACCTCTCAAGGCATGTTCAGCTGCAACACCTAGTACTCTGCTATTTTTAAGGGATGGTCTTTATGTTAGTAGAGAGAGAGAGGCAAAGTCATGTCAGAGTTTCTTTTGATTAGTGTCAGATCACATTTATGAAAGTGTCTCTACAGATCAGTCACCAAATAAGACCTGAGAAAGCCTGTGTTCAGAGCACCAAATACTGCACTAACGTGTCCAGGGCTTGTGGATGTTTTACTGCACTTTCCTAGGTACAGTTCAGGTTGTTCTGCTCCACCACACCACCCAAAGACCTCAGAGGAGTCAGGAAGGACTTCTGCCACTCCTAAAGGCTTCAGGGTTGGGCTAGGAAGCATGCTTCCAGCTGAGACACACTTACTCGGGGCTTCAGCGGGTACCAGTTGAGTTTCCTGTTGCTCCAGTCCCAGCTGGCCAAGTCTACTTCGATCTCTCCCAAGAAACTGTTACGTCCCAGTGGATCATTGTGCCAAACAGAGAGATTTAATTTTTGGATCAGCAATACCATTTTCTCTATTTTATACTGAAGGAAGAAAGAGAAGTCAGGTTGTTCAAATTTTTCTTCTGTTTCTTTCACAACTGGAAATAAACTACTCAAAAGCTTGAATAAGCTCTGACTAAGACACTCAGACCCACTCCACACACACACTACTGGACTGGCCTCGCTCTGAACACCTCCTTTTTTCACCCTGTAGCAATACTATTACTCTGACAAAGCTTCTCTGCAGAGCACAGGGAAACCTAGCGCTCCATTCGTCACAGAGCAAAACCAATATTCTTTCAAGAATTATTAACACAGGCCTGGGAATTGTTAAATAATCCTCCAGGCTTTGATGAGTATGGTCATATAACGAAGACCTTTCTTACTAGTCCCATGCCTCGTGACTGCGTGCCAGGGAAGGGAAGAACACCCCTTGCTCTGGCTGAGGGCAGCACAGGCTGCAGGTCCCTATCTCATCCAAAGATCACTGGGTGGCTTTGACAGAGAAATCTTGGGTGCCACACAGATGGGTGCAGAGAAAACTTCAACATCTCTGCCCTCACAAACCCAAGGGAAGAGCAGTGCAGCATTGGCGGGAGGCAGGCGAAGAAGCCTGGCCAAGAAGACAGGATCTTTCCAGACCTGACCTGGTACGGGTGCCTGCTACAACACAGGTTTTCAGAGCTTGTATTTGTTCTTACCCGTAACACCTCGTTGTAGATGGGATTCACTGTCCTCTTCTTCACCGAAGTTTTCCTCTTACCCATTCTAGCTTTGTCTGGGAGCAGGTAAGTTTTAACATACCTAGAAAAGAAAACAAACTCCATCTGGATATCGTTCCACATTGCCAAGCTCCAATAAGCGAGCAACACTTGTGAACAGTGACATGGAAACAAAAGACCTGGAGTTGACTCTTGCATGTGAAGTTATAAATCTCACTGGAGATGGGTGGATGCCGCCAACATTCAGAACAGGCAGCTGTCTAGGCAATATGGGAAGCCAGCAAGGCCATATATCCATTTTCTGAAATGTCCATAACTATAGCATCTCTGTATGTTCAAAATCAGGGTGAAATTAGAGAGGAGGAAAGGTGGAATGTCTTTAAGTCTCTCTCTCAGGGTTCAAATCCAAGCTCCTTGTCATCATCTTTCAAACTAGAGATCACTAACCTCTGTACAACTACCATTGTGCCCCTAACAGCAATTCTTTACAGACTCTTTTTTCATATAGACATGTGTCTGCATCGCCAGAGTTATTACCAAAGTGTATTCACCATGGGGAGATCAAGGTTCACATGGATGCAGAGAGAACATATTCCAGTGATAACAGGAACTGTCTTTGTAGTGAACAAAGCTTTCTCAATCTGTTCAAATTAAAGTCTGGCAACATATTTACCGATGCCGATGGCTCAGAACCATCAGCTAGTAAAGTCCCAGCAGTAAGCATGCGCCAGAAGTCTGAAGGAAGGAAGAAACCATGATGTTTAAACAGAGAAAACTAAAGAAAAAAATCCTCCAGAGCACAAAATTCAGCAATGTAGAATTCACAAGGCACCAAAGTGTCACTCACGGGTCAGATCTGCCTTTCTTCTCATCCACGACAGCCAAGTCCTTGCACTGGGACACATGAACCTGGAACTCCCGGTTCTTCTCATCATAGTCTAGAGCAAACTCCACGGTACCTTGGGCATCCACACTCCCAAAATCGCCACTGTAGACACTGAGCACACTGCCACTCACCTGTCAGGTGGAAGAGCAAGGTCAGTGCCACTGAAATAGGCACCCTCCTGACCTGGTTCTGGACAAAGACGATAGTCTGGAAAGTGCATTCCCAGAGAAATAATCTGCAATTTCTGTCCTTGTGTACTGTTGTGTCCTTGACACAGAAATGGTCCACATCTGCAGCTGTGCTCAAACAAGTGAAGGTTGGGGAACCCGAATAAGGGTCTCACAAGGATGTGCTATCCTAGACCAGGATTTAGAAGCACTATTCTCCTGAATGCTCAAAAAATGCAGAAGATTTTTCACTCCTAAATCTGAAAACTCTGGGAAACAGCCAAATATTACTGGGGGGGACCACACAAGTCTCCTCCCTTTCCCTATGCTTACAGTACAAACAGCTGCTATCCTGACCCAATCTCATACTAAGAAAGAAATATATTGAGAGAACTTAAACTATGTGTATATGAACTTACTATTTCAGGTAGGTATAGTCACACAATTGTCAAGCAATTTTTAAAATAGGCTAGTAAGAACCATATCAGACCAGACTTGTAGGAAAAACTATTACTATCTTGTTGCTTGCTCACAATGTGCATGGAGCTGTACAAAACAGAAATAGATATAACCTCTGTCCTGAAGAGCCATTGTCCCACCAGAGACAGCCTGTGTGCATCTACTTGCCACAAAGACACAAGAAAATGAGGTTTCTACAGGTATAAATCAGGAGCTAGTCACCCAAGAGTCACTTGCTTTCCCAGAACAAACTGCATCTGGCCATACGCCTTGGGCTGCTTTTTTCAAGGCTTTCTCTTTCACTGGTAGAAAGTGATGAAGCAGAAACAAAACAGCTCCAGAAAGATGAGAGAATTTTCTATTGCACCAATCACTTATGACTCCTGACAGGATAACACAAAAGCTAATGCTGTTTACAAAGCAAATAATTAACGCTCTTGGCACTTTTCTGTGGTACAGTCATGAACATTTATCAAAAAACTTTCCTAGTAATTAACCCAATTCTTCTCTGTCTCCCCCTACTTTCTTTGGTTCTGAATTTCATTCTATTATAACCTACAAGAACCTGCTAAACATCTCCTCTCAGTCCTTGCAGCTGCATTTACCATCCCATCAGGAAACTTACCCCAGCAGAGAATCCTGAATGAGATTTTCAAGAACACCTGTGTGACTTGGACACAAAAGGCTTATTTATAGCTCCCAGACTCTCCAGACTAGGAGAAGGACACATGTTCCCCAAAGTTCAAGGTTTTTTTTAACATATTTATCTACATTCATGACCTCTCCCTACCAGCTTTGCTTCACATATATTCTTTAAATCTCACATATACACCTTGCAGATACCTGTAACTAATACAGCAAATTCAAGCACTTTTAAGCAGCCCCCCCCCAAACACTGTCTCTAAGGAATCTTTTAAAAATGCTCAGCTAAACACACTCAGCTCTTTTCAGCTTTCCTTAGAAGTTGAAGCTCTAAATCACACTTTTGCTGTCCAACTCTTCGAATTTGCTGATAAAGTGAAGGATGAGCTTGCAGAGGGCACCCGCCTGCAGCCCCAGCTCTTTCAGAGCTGGACCACAAACATGTCACTTACTAGCTGTATGCCTCATTTCCCCACCTAGAAAAAGGCCCCCCCTCTCTCCCGCATGCTGCCAGGCTTCAGAGCATCCATACTTTGGGGTGGGGGCTACCGCTTACTGTGAATTTGTCTAACAATGACTCGGTGGGTCTCTAATTTGAGATGGTACCTGGAGACACTCCTTTAATGCAAGTAAGTCAATTAACCATCACCGTTCTTTTAATAATGTACCATGCAGAAACCAACAGGACACTCCGGAGGCCACATCATCAGTATCAGCCTAAATGCAGTGTCACTGCATCCGACTGAGAAACCCTATCTAGTGAGATGTACGCGTTAAATACCTACCGAGGAGACAGATGCCATGTCGGACGAGTGGCTGCCAACGCTAGGCGTCTTTTTGTGCTTGTTAAACTGGAAGCTGATTTCCGAAGCCGTGTCTGATTCAGTCTGCTCAGAAAATAACAAGCATCTTTAAGCTCTGCTGTATGAGCACTTTGCAACACTACAGAGAAAACCCAATAGCTCAGCAGAGTCCCATTAAGCAGCGATCAGGTTAGGAGAGTGGAGGAGAGCGCAGGGAGTCTCCCTAGAGGCATTCTCTCCGACCGACAGTGAACGTCATCATTAACTGCCTCCAAACAGAGCTGCATGAAACTGCCTGGGCTCTTGGAAAGGGCATGGAATAGCGTGGTTTGAGACAGAGGGAAATGCTAGAACTCCTCCAGGATAGAAGGGCTGGTCTGGGTTACTGGGGGCTTTTTTCTGAAGGCTCTTCTCATTTATTTATGACATAACCAAGGTATGCTCTAAAGCAAGTACTGTCCGTGTGCAGGAGAAACAGTCCCATGAAACCGATTGCCATTCAGGGGATGCTGTGAACATTACTCCAGCCATTTCTGGTATCTAGCCTACCTCAGACAACAGGAGAGGAGAGGATCTGCTCAGCTCTTTGACTCTTTCAGGTTCAAGAAACTGATGGGGTATCAAATGAGGTTTATTGTATGCTGTAGGTACAAACAAAAAAGGCATCAAGATACCTTGTCAGAGTCAGGAAAATGTAAGAAAGTCACATTTTTGTTTAAGGGCACAAGGAAGGAAGAAAAGCTTGTGGGAGGTACCAGAGTACCACCTACTTGCCCAGTCTCTGTGGTCTGCCAGTGAAGCTGACCCTCCTCAAGACAAAAACTGCTAGCTAACATCTTAAAGCTATTTTCAATGTGTTTTCTTTCAATGTGTGGGAGTGTGCAAACTCCCTCTAGTGGCTAATTTAATTCACGTAGTAGCCTAAGGATGTCCGTTGTTTGCACCACTTTCTTTGTGTAGATTTAATTTAGACTAAAACCATACAGATCTGCCTCCTTGTCAAAGAAACCAAACATGCTCACATTTTCATCTCGTAGCACATTGCCCTGTACAGAAGAGCTGTAAAATATTTATACCTACAATTTCACCATTGCATACACCTCTGAAATACTCTGCTAGACAAAGAGGTGGACAATAGCCAGATATCTAAAAGAAAAAAAAATCAGAAAGCTTCATATCAACTTAGAAAGATGGTTACTGGACTGCTTAAATGGCTAAATAAAACCCATTTGTTCTAACTTTATCTTTTTCCAATAACTCCCTTGCAGATGACTATCTCCATCCCAGAGGAACCTGTTTTTAGAAGATACACGTGCATAAATGTGCACGCACATATACACGCTTGTTTAGCATGTTAGCCACAACGATACATTCTTCAGCACTCCAAATGCCCAAGAGCTTCTTTGGCATTTTCCTTTCGTATGATTTACCATTTATTTGATATTTACTATTTTTATTTCCAAACATAAGCAAAGCATTAAATCCAGCCCTCTCCACAGACTACTTGTTATACTGCAAACAAGTAAGTGTAACTGTAGAGGAGGGTTTCTGAGGGTGAAGTTTGTGGCTCTAAATAAGCTTTAATGAGGAGAGGCTAAAATCTCGGTGGTCTGTGTGAAGACCGCGTCATTGAACGGCAATGCACGTGGGACCCGAATCTTCGATCCACCGTGCCGTGCGACACGTCACTGCACCACAGGACGGGGCGCGCGCGTGGCGCGAGGCTACGGGACAGGGTGGGCACCGTCACAGGGCGACGCAGCGCGTCCCACCCGCAGGCTGCCTGCGACGCCGCCCCAAAGGGGACTCTCCTCCCTCCCATAACCAGGGTCGGGCTTACTTAAATGGGCTCCATCGTCTCCTGTAAGCGGCTTTACCCTTCCTCGGGCATTGCCTTCCCAGCCCTCTCACCTCAGTCCTGGCAGCCTTGGCCTTACCACATTGATTTAGGCAAGCGCTTAGCTGTCCTCTTGGGCTTGACGGTTTTCACCTTTTGGGGACTGTAAGTGGTTTTCTTGGCCACGGAGGCTGCTGCTGCCTTCCTTCAGGCCCCGCTCCGTGGCTGCAGCTTTCTTGGGCTTCTTGGTGGGACAGACAGGTTTCACGGTCGTGGGCTTCTTCAGGTTTGCTGCTGCTTTCTTGTTGCCTTCTCCTTAGCTTCTCTTGGTTTCTCAGGGAGAAACTGTCACCATAAAGCAGGTCCCAGCTGGTAGCTGGGGAGATCAGTCCAGCAAACGGGGTCTGCTCTGGGGGAGGTGAGAGGCTCAGGCTGGGCACGGCAAGCCCAGTGAGCCTGTGACAGGCGTCTGCGGCACGACTGGCACGCTGGACGTGAAGTCTGGCACCTCTGATTAATCCACGGCACAGGCTGCCATGCAGCTCCCACGGTACTCGGTGGGGGAAGAGGAGAGACAAGTACAAGCTTCTTGCCAACCCTCTGAAGCCCTTGTGGTTTTTGCTGAAGACACTGAGTAACATACCATCAATCTAGTTGCAATTTCCTGGCTCTGAATTTAATTTTAGGCACTATAAGCTCTCTAATTTGATGATGAAACAATATGTCATTTTCCTTGCCTGGTAAATGCACAGAAGCATGAGGGATGCAGAACTCGGGCATAATATATTACCTTCAGTGAATGTAAACCAAAAAGGAGAAAGAAAGACGTTACTCACTCTCTGTGGTTGTGTAAATGTTCACCATGCTCTTTGCAAGATTAATGCTATTTGCTCGGGCCAGTGCCTGAGCGGCGGGAGAATGATCCCCATCTTCCTCTGGAATACATGAAAAGCCAAATCAACATGGTAAATAAATATACACAAATGGGTAGTGTGTCAACAAGCACATGTGTTTCTGTCTCTCCTGGCTTGTTCACTCTGCTTAGAGCACATTGCAGTTACATTACACAGGGCTGCTTTCAAAGCATCAGTGTGCTTTAATCTCTCCCTGAGAAAACGTATTCACACTATGATGGGAAATGTAAACACTGGATTAATCCAGTCCCTAAAACAGACCAGCACTTGCAAAGAACTTCCAGTGCAACACAGCCATCTGCTAATACCATCCTGAAATGAATGTAACAATAAGGCAAAACCCATGAGAAATGTAAGAATGATCTGCTATATAAAGGAAATGTTTGTGTTTACCTGAGGTGCAACTCAGGATTGTCATAGAAATGTTATATGAGGTAGGAAATAAGCCAAGAAATGACACAGTAAAAAATAAAAATCAGATGAGTCTACAGAAAATGGTCTCAGACAGGTCTTACCCAGGTACATGAGGACAGGAAATTTGGAAAAAGGTGATAAGCAGCTCTCTTTTCCTAGGTCTTTGCTTGGCAGAGAGCAGAGCTGTGGGCAATCAGAGCCCACATGTAAAATGTATTGCAATTAACAATAACTTTTGTTCATAGTAACAGTCACTACAAGAGCCCATCGAACCCAGAGGAAGAGGCCAATAAAATGGTGATACTATTGACACCATCATGGTTGAGAACATGGTATCAGAACCCAGAAAGATCAGACTCCTTGTTTAGCCCACTTTGGTTGCAGTTTAATATCCAAAATCACTTGTGCATACCCAGAAGACCCAAAATGTAATTTAAGCACTGACAGCCAGCGGCTGTTACCAAGGTAGCCTAATGGCCAATGTATTTATTAAACACTTTGCTTCACATTTTATTTCTTCTATTTGTGTCAGACTTATCTCTACCACCAGAAATAATTCCTCCAGCCCCACATTTGAAGAAAGTACAGTCTTCCCAGTGAGTGAAATAAAGTAAGTTCCTGTGACCTGTTGTAGGTAGCGCTAAAGAAATGGAGGGCTGTCCCGAGCTGAGGTGCTTGCAGGTATGGCAAGCAGGTATGGTGGTTGTGGGGAGGAAGGCAAGGGAACATGGCACTGCCTCCTTTTACGCTCGCTCCGCGCTACACAAGATTTGTTTCCAGAGCTGTTTGCTAAACACAATCCACGCATGCTAACTCTGCACAAACTGCAATATAAGATAAATGGACAAATGAAGAAAGTGTGCAAATGCAGAACGGCTAGGGAAGAAAACAGGCTTAGGGATGACTCTCTATTGGGATTTCATAGGGTGCAGTTACAGCCCTCAGTACCTGAGTAAACAGCCGAGTCCGTTCCCTGAACGGCTTCTCTCTCTCCGGCTGGTTCACCGGGTGTTGGCTTGTCTGAAGGCTCACACATTTCTTCCCCAGGTAGCTCTCCATTTATTTCCACATTGCTATGAGTGCCCAAATCAGATCTTTCCTCTTTCTCATCATCGTTTTCACCATCTGTAAGCACAGGCTCGATCAGTATCTGCACCCTGCTCGCCAGGGAATTTGCTGCGTGCTTGCGCTCTTCTGCCACAATAAACTTGTCTGTAGGCGTCTCTGGCTCAAACGTGCTGCCAGACACTTCTTTGGTAGGCGACTCGATTTTGACGGAAGGCGCTCGCACAGGCAATCTGGATTTCTTGGAGCAGCGCTGTGCTGCTTTCTCTTCCTCTGGCACCGTTGGCTTCCCATTGCTTTCACCCAGCGAGTTATTTCTTGTAACCGGGCCGCCTTTGCTCTTGGCGTATGTGGATCTAGGAACGGTGGAAACGGAGCCCTTCCTTGCAGGGGCTACATAGCTTGGTTCTTCCTCGCTAGAAGACAGGGTTATTGTCCTTTTGTAGGGGGTTCTTGTTTTGGTGAAGATGCCAGGTTTTTCTTCGGTGTTCTGGCCTTGCCCAGACTGCACAGAGAGAGAGCGGCACAGCTTGAACTGCCTACCGTCTGCCTCCACCCAGCTCGGGTCCTCCGGCACGTTTCTCACCATCACAGAGTCTGCTCCCTTCTCCCAGAAGTTCTTCAAGTTCTTGAAGTGTTCGCGATTGAGGCCGATATCCTCCTCTTTGTTACTCATTGATGAGATCGTATAGTTCACGCCGTGCTTCACAGCCTGGCTGCCTTCCCCCTCTGCGGTCAGTGGTTTGGAGCTTGCCAGCAGCTTTCTGTTTGAGAGGCTGTTCTCTGCTGGCCCCACATGATTCACAAACTGCTCGGGTCTGGGGAAAGTTCTACTTGGTTTCCTCTTAACTGGTATCTTGCTGGGAGTGTAAGTTTCTTCAGGTGGAGTTTTTGGCCCCACTGTGGCGCCAGTGGCCCCATCAAGAGCTTCTCCTCCAGCTGCACTGCTGGGCTGAGGCACAGCATCCTCTGACAGCTTGGTGGGCAACGGAGATACTCCACGACCTACAACAACAACAGATGCTCACAGCCTGTCCCACTGCATTGCATCATGTTTCCCTGGAATGTCTGGGCTGCAGCTTCTCAAAGGGAAGCCAGGAGAAGTTTCCAGAAACCATCAATATGTTCCTAATTCTTCCCCATTTTGAGACTCTAGCAAGTCCCTTTCGACCTGAAGAAAGCCCTGAAAACCCTAGCCCTTTGCTCTGCAACAGGACATGGAAAAAATCCACTGAGTTCTAAATTGTTGCTGTGACTTGGGGATTTGTTTGCAGCTTTGCTTTCAGTTTGACAGCCTTCCTACTGGCTATTTGCTATGTACCAAAAATACACTCTACATTCAAGGCAGGAAAGAGAAGGTAACTTGGATCTATGGATTAAGGAGTTGTGAGCCAACCACTCAGTTTAAAATGTATGGAGAGCCAGGAGAAGTTTTAGTCATTGGAATTTTTTTTTTCTTGGTCCCTGCTGCCTTGGGCATAATTCATACAAATGTTGGCATCCCATTTTTACATGCCAAGGTAAGAAATACTCTTTTTTATTGATTTTTACACACTCAAAAAAAGCATCTTGTTTCTTGGTGTTTGATGTTGAATAACAAAAACACCAACAGCTCACTGAACAAAAACCTTACCTTTTCTAGACAAATGCAAGCTGTTTGTTGCAGCCACAAATGGACTTGTTCCAGTGTCACTCTCTGAGGAAGAGACATCATGTATACTGGATCTCTGAACGGAAAACAAACCCTATCAGTGTATATAAACTGGCAAGACTGGAAAAACGTATTTTATTTGAGCACAGACATGAGGGCAGGCAGTCTGTGGAGCCCCTACCAGTAGGTACAGACTGTGTGAAGGTCCAAGGAATAACAAAACAAAGTGCAGAGGCTGTGCCTATACTACCTTATGTGATGCAGGCAGCAGGACAGGAAGTCTCGGCTTCGGTTTTGGCAAGATTTTACACTCCTCTGTGGTATCAAGTGCAGGTGTGCTGGATCTGTGGGAGAGGAGAAACGCCTGATAAGGAGATCAGTGGTAGTGACGTACCTGGTAGGGTGGTCAGGCAGTCTTCAACATCATCTCAGCTCTGCTCAGCTACTTTACCACTTTTATCTACTGACCCAGCCCAGGCCAGAGCTGGTGCCTTCATTTATTTTCTCTGTTACTGCTTGGAAGGACTGGGGGACATGTTAAATGGCCTGAATGTGGAGTAAAGATGAGTCTCCTGCTGCAGTCAGTACAGAACTTGCTCAATAAAAACAACAGTGTCAACTTCTGGGTTTATTCAAACTTTCCCCTTCTGGGAGAAAACCGTAGGGAAAAACACAGGAAGCAGCAGTGCCAGAAGAGCCCAAGAGCCATGCAGGAGGGAGATGTGTTTCCATGCTATGGCCCAGGAAGGATCAGGTCACACCTCCCAGTTCAGGCCAAAGGCATAACCAGATTGGTAGAGGATTTAGAAACTACAGGAATGATTATGACAACAATCTATACTACAGGATATAAATCCTCATGCTTGGAACATAAGTTGATTACTAATGGCCTGATAAATAAATGGAAGAAACACATATCACAGGCAGTTTACTTGACTGTTTCTACTGTCTTTGGAAGTAACTAGTGGTGGCTGCTCTCCAGACGACAACAGCAGTCAAGCTGGTGAGATTTCATAAGGGAATGCTTTGTGCTTAGGGTTGAATGAGAAAAACAAAGCAAACTTTTCAGGATTTAATCAACCCCCCCAAAAAACATTAGGACCATTGCTGTGCCTGTAAAGCAGGAGCATCTCGGGCTTGTTGACTCTGGATCCTTCATTAAGCAACACCCAACCTCTGCAAGAGGTTTCGAAGTCTTGTCAAGGCCCATATTTAATATTTAACTGGAGCAATTGCCACCTGTGAAGAAAGATTCCTCATTCTGCTGACAAAAAAATGCAAATGAGATGGGAGCAACAATAAATGAATACGTGAATATTTAATGGCTTCTCCATAGTCCACGAATATTGAGTGAGGTCGCTGATTTGCTCGTTGGAGTGCCTTTAGTGGGTGTTTCTGCTCAGTCAGCACAACGTGAAATCCTACCAAGCCTTGATGGAGAGCGCTGAGCACGGGATGCAGAGGTTGGCACCAGCAGGAAATGAGCAGTTTCCTCAAACAGTTCATTTTGTTAGTGTTGCTCCATGGCAAAAATTAAACAAATAAAACCATAATTACTTTGAAAAACTAACCAGAATATCCTGACATTAGAGACAGCTTCCATTTTACTGACCCCTGATCAAATCATGCAGGAAAAGACCTTTCTGGGGTAAGCACATTAGCAGGTAGTTATTAGGGGAGGATTGATATTCTGACAATTCCTGGAAAAAGGTTAAAAATACCCTATATAACCTATTACTTACACAGTCTTGGAAACTCAGTTAAAGACCAGGATTTAATGGGTAGCATTCAATTTTCATTAGGAGTGAGAGCAGCAGCCAGAGAGTTGCACAAGCAGCGGCAGTTACCTCTCCTCTCCTGTGCCAGCAGCACGCTCAGGGAAGGCAGGACTCAGGGCAGCTTTGCTTTCCAGACCCATCTGGATGTGCTCGTTGGCCTCATCTGTAATATAACAGAGACAACTGAGAAATTACATTTATTTAAACTTGTAATGGCCGGTGTGTTTTGTTTGCGGAAAGAAAAGGCTTGTTAAACGAGCCCCACCAGCACAAACCCTGGGGATTTACCAGGAGATGGCTGATGGGGGGCTCTGCCTGCTCCCCCCACGGACGGGGGAGGCCCCGGGACAGCGTCGCCCACGCTCCCCACGCAGCGAAGGCACCTCCAGACCTCACGGGTCCGAGAGGCCAAAGCAAGCTGCCTAACGCCTGACTCAGGCCAGGAGCTGTCACATCACTGGAAACCTTCGCAGGACACTGCCATGGCTGTCAATAAAGTTAATCCGTACCAGGATTTAAATTCAGCCATTTCCTGTTTTGACTGAAAGTCATCCGATCTTGGCAAACAAAGGAGGAGGCCAATACAGTTAATGAGGAGATCCCTGTTATTTTTACTGGCACAAGGCTCAGCTATGTCTTCTAAGCTCTCAAGGACCCGAAAGAAAAAACAATAGGAGACGGTAACCTTTAGAGCAGCCTGCCAGGGTATAAAGTTGCATTAGACATTTTGCTGGCAAACAGGCTTTCTTGCTACTGCAAAACCAAAAGGATTAAACTCTAAAACAGCAATGAGAAACTAGTCTGGTCAACAAGAACGGCACGTATTTATTCACAGCTAGGTCTATTTTAAAAAGTAAATCTACCTCTTACAAGAACTGCCAAATCTCTTCAGGATATATTTCGTGACACAATACAATAGAATCAGAAGCTTAAAGGATTCAGATGTGACATTAAATAACATAGCTTCGCTTGTTATCTGGTTAGAAAACCGTACCAAACCCAAGAGCAGATCAGTCCTACGGACAGGCTGCGATATCAATGTCACGCTGGTGCTGCCCGTGTGGTGCCATCCAGCACCAGCACAGCCAGCCCGCAGGTAACGGGGATATCCGAAGATGAACCTTCATTCCCCCTTGCCTGTGCATCCCCACGGAGAAAAATGCTGCAGTCCCAACTCTTCCTCCCCGCCCCGCGCCTGGTCCTGCGGTGCAGGGGACCACGGCAGGCGTTGCTCGGGGCTGTCGGCGTTAGGACCACGTCTGGCACACACGCGAGATGGCAGCGGGGCGATCCCGTGGTTTCCGCAGCCGTGGGAAGTCGGGGAGTCACTCCTGCTGCAAGACGGGAGCCTGGTTGTGTAAGAACGAGCCAGTTTTAGAGAGGATGTTTCTGAGAGAGGGACTGCGTTTTGTCCGTGTAAACGTTGATGTGCAAAAAGCATCGCTGAACATCGTTTCGGGAGAGACAAGCTGTGGCACGGCCGGTGGCACGTGCAGGCCACGTCACACGCCGGCATGGGAACACCGTTTATTTATACAGTGAGCCACGTCCTTCTCTTCTGCCCCAGACCCGAGGGAGGGAGATGCCAGCAGGGAGCTGCTCTGGAAGTAGAGGAACCAAACACAGAGCTCCCATGTTTTTCCCCTGCCTGTCATGGTTGAAAAGACCTTGACAACCAAAGACTGCGTTCATTTCTCACCTCACTTCCAAAGGCATTGTGTCATATTTGCTTTTCACTGACACTTCCCCATCACACAGAGCTCCCCTCTCCCAGCTGGCAGAGGCAGCAGGAGGTGTTCACTTCTTCCCATCCAAACCACTGCCCTTCAAAATGGCTCAGCCACTGACACAGCTATACCTGGCTTCTCTAACCACAAACAAATAGGTTATTAGTATGTTATAATCCATCAAGACAAGCAAAATGCCTTTGCTAACTTCATGATGAGACAGAATAAGAAGCAAATTCCAATAGAAACTAGTAGTGGCCTGACCAGTTTAACTTGTCCATACGTATATTTATATACATATATATACAGCCACTCCTGCTCTAACACTTTAGCTGCTTTACTCATTTCCAATCACTCCAAAATGAAGACACTCAATGCTTGGGGAAGGCACAGCTAACTGTGCCATCAGGGCTGACTTGCCTCGGCAGGTGGATAAAATGGTCTCTCTCCGTGATGATTTTTAGCTCCCATCCATTGCACACAAGCTCAAGGAGAAGTTATCACCAAATTCATCCATCTGTGCTGCTCTGCAGGCTGCAGTTTAAATACAGGGTATCTATCTATTTTATAGATTTATATTACCGCTGATTACTAGTGTTTTCTATTATAAGCAGTACCAACTGTGAAGACCCTTAGGGATCCACACAACCCTCCCTTCTGAAGGTTAAAACCCTCCTCCAGGAAAGGTCACTGGGCATTCTCCTGTGCCGGCACAAATTTCCACCTCTCCTCAGCCTGTTTACCATGCAAAGGCAATGCCAGCAAATATCTCAGTGGGGCTTCTCCATGCAGGAATTTTCTCATTTCACTCCCTAACACAGTCATCAAAGACTTAAATCAGGATTAACAGCCCTGGAGTCATGAACATGTTACACTGATTTGGCTAAATAAACACACACCCCTTCATCACCTTGAAAACCAACAGAAGGTGAATGATTCTCATCTTTCCAGAAGAAAAAAAGGTGTCAAAATGGCAAGCAAAGGCCCTTATCTCATCTACTGCAGACTGAACGTGAGCTGCACGGCCAAACTGTTCGTACAGGGGCCTCATCCTTGTTCCCTGATGGGCCAAGTGCCGCTCTCACCAGTGCAATACTCTTGCTGACAAGTCAGTGAGAGAAGTGCTTGCCCTCACATGTGAAGGAAGGCAATCTATACGGTAACCACCCCAGGAGCTGAGCATGCACCAGGTAACAGCAAGGTGAAAATATTAGCTGCAGAATCTTGATCCTCTACCACTGCTGTAAAATGGCAGTGGGAAAAGTAAAAGGAAGGAATAAAGTCACATGTTGTACCTGTGCTTTACCAAAATAAGTCTGAGAATAGAAAAAGAGAAAGAAACGGAAGAAAAAAAGTTGAAAAAGAAATGAAGAGGGCTAAATCTAAACGTAATTACTATAGTAATTTAGCAACATTTGCTTCTTCCTTCTTAAAACAGCATTAGTCAAGTAATGTGCATGCAAAGACATAACTTGCATATTACTGCTATATTAATGAGATTATTTTACATGATAACCTGAAACCACATCTCATATGTGCACATCAGCAGTAAAAGTTAAATCTAAAACCAACAGTACTTCAGATTTTGCTTTCCTGAAGTGGGCTGCAAGCTAAAGGTGCTGATGCCTCTGGCAAGGCAAAAGGCAGACGAATCCAATTCACTGCTGGCCACTAGCTGGGCTGCAGATGACAGAGCATTTGTCTGACCTGGGCCCTAGGAGAGGGGCTGCTGAAGTGTCTGTCTCTTCATGCAAAGAGGGTGCAAGCACAAATGCACATCCTCAAAAAGCAGAACATGCTCTGCAGAAATGGCCAGGCAACTCTGTCGAGCTGGAAAAGGTTTTGTATGTTTCAGCATTCTGGAGGGATGATAAAAAATAAATTTAATGACATCATGAATCCTTAATACCAGGGGTAAAAGCAACTTCATATGAAATATGATGGGCCAGTGCTGCATCAGAGGGTCCAATGAATCTAAGCTAAGTTATAAGACCTGTCAGGGATAAGCAAAAAGCAAAAAGAAAATGAGGCTCTCGGTTAGTGAAGTCACTAGCCAGCGTTTAGCTTTCAAAATGTGTCTAAGTAATGTGGAGCTAAGAGGGGTATACTAAACCCAGGAAATTAATGTTACAGAGATATCCTGGCCAACGAGGCCCACCAAACAAAGGAGTGATCTGTACTGCTGCTACCCCACAGCAGGAATGGGCAGCTGGGCCTAGGAAAGAGGGCTGAACTGAACTGGTGGAGATGACATTTGAGTTTTGGGCAGATGGAAGATAACCCTTTATCGAACAGTAGCCTCTACTGCAAAAGAACAGAGCCCAGTTATACAGTACTTACATTAGGGACCATGGTAGCCGTTGCTTAGAGCTGTCTTTCAGGGCCATGGCTTCCCCAAAGCAGCAGCAGCCAGTAACTCACCAGCCGTGTCTGAGTATCTGTGATTACCCACCCTGACAAATGATCAAGGAGGTTTTGTGAAACTGGGCTGCAGTTCCACAGTCCTGCTGCAGAGACAGTTGACCTGCCTTCATGTTGAGGACTGGATGTGAATCATCCCCGGTTCTGCTTTGCACAAATGTTCAGCACGAAGTGCCAGCTCCAGGCTGGTTACGTTTGGGCTCAAAGCACAGCCCTGCTCATTTCACACAGGGCTGAGCTCTTCTCTTCCCTGCCCTGAGCCAACAAATCTGATTTGATCTGGTTTACATACCACCACGGGAGTTCCTCTGCATGTCGAACAACACGCAATACATCTGCTGCAAATTAGCACACGGTCCCAGATATACCCTTGCTATGGCCCAGCAGCCTGGGTACCATTCAGACTTGGCCCTGAAGCCCTTTTTATTTTGAAAACTACATTGTGCCTTGGAATTATTCCCATGTAAAAAGCTAGGCATGGACCCCCTCAAGTAGGCAAACATTTGCCAGGAGAAGAGAGGCACCCCTTCCCTTTGCAGAGATGTGACTGACCCCACCACTCTGGAGGCCTAAAAGAGCAGACAGATGTCTGTTTTTGTCAGACCACTCTAGGAATTGGGGGGGGGTGTTGTTTGACCCACACATATCAGTTTGATGCCAGAAATTGCCCTACATTATCCCCTTCCCTTTTTGCTTTGAGTGGGCGGCTGCGTGGTGCTTAGTTGCTGGCTGGGGTTAAACCATGACAGACAAGAAATTATACCAGTGACCTCTGACAAATAGACATTTTGGAAGAAAGAAGCTGAAGTGGGGAAAAGGCATTTACCGCATGCAGCTGGTAAACAGCTCTTGCCTTGGTCCTCTGCCACACTGTAATTTTTTCTTTGGGCCCTGATTTGGATAATCAGGTATCTTTTTCTAGTACTGAAAGCTTAAATGACAATCTCCTGATGACAACACAAAGGCTGGTCCCCAACAGGCTCCCAGTACAGGGAGACCCCCCATACTTGACCACTTTTTTCTAGTCCACCAATTTGTTTTCTTAAGGTGCACACTAACATACTTACTTTCCAGTTTGCCCTTTTTCCTTCTAATAGATGCCCGAAGTAGATCCGGCCCCTCTAAGTCTTCCTGAAACCGTTTTGCCTTCACTTCCGAAAACCATTCACCTGTCACAAACTTCTTCTTCTTTTCATCCTTGATGGAGCCTTGTATCCGCCTGAAAGTCAAGGAGAACATTACACACCAAAAAGATCTCCAAGGTTTCGACTTCCCCTGAGCTACCTTCGTAACAATTGTCCGTACAGTTCCCCTGTCCGATACTATGCAGGATCCAGAGAATATTCTCTGCAATCACAAGGGCCAAACCAGCATTAAAACAAAAGCTGATTTATTCTTTATTGGAAATGGGAACTGCACCTTGTAAACACAGGCTTTTACCTCTTCCAAATTTTACAAATCCAAATCAGAGTCATCTGCCAAGAGATTTGCCTATTTGCTTTGCAGCCCTGGGGGTTTGGGAAGGGGTGGGGCTGTTTGCAGGTCTTGCACTTCTCCCTTTTATTTGTCTATTAATCTCTTCAGGAGTGGCAAAGCTTTTTGCATCAAATCTGAGGCAAACCATGGAAATAAATCATGTTATTTAGGGGAGCAACCTGTCCCTGCAGCATTCTCCCTGGACACTGCTCCTCCTGCCATGACAATTTTGGCACTCAGTCACCTTTCCTTCCTGAGCACAGCTTCTCCTACTGTAACTCGCTCAGGCGCACCCAGGGCTGGTTTTTGGCACCTAAACCCGTCAGTGCTCTGTTTGCTAGCCTGTACTTTTAACCCTCCTCCAGTTATCCTGTTTTTATACCACGGCTTACTGAATTAGCTGCCTTTCAGCTGGCACTGCCTCCCACAGCTCACCACAATTCAGGGTCCCTGCGAGACGTGAGAGGCCAGAGGAAAACTCCCACCTCAGTCCAATTCTCATCAGGAAGAGGGAGCAAAACCCCGGATGACTGTGGAGCCTAGAAGGGTCACATTTGGCTGCCGAAAGGCCAGAAGGGAGCAGGTGTGGGATAACTGGGCTCAAGCCTCTGCCGGCAGTGCTGGGGGACCCAGCAGGACTGACAGGCAGGGAGCTGCACAGCTCCCATCTAGACCAGGGCTGCATCTGCCCCCGTGAGGGTCTCGAGGTGGTGGGCCAGAGGAGGAATAGGAACATATTTTAATCTTGTTGACACCAGATCGGTGTAATGCCATTGATTCCATTTCACCCAGCAGGCAGGTTGTTTGGACCCAAACATGTCCACACTTGCACCAAAGGTCTTACTGCATATAGCCATACTGACAGCAAGTGGCACTTGGCACCACCCCGGTCAGGATCTAACTCACTTCACTTCCATATGAAAGCCTTCTGTGCAACAGCTTCCAAAGACAAGTGAAACAAAACTGAAATAATCCAAACGCTCTTTTCCCCAAACCTCCACTGCAGAGCAGAAATGTTACCGCATTTCAGAAAAAGAAAAAAAAAAGAAGAAAAAAAAGAGAAAACCTTTTTGAAACCTTGCTTCAATTCAGAGGAGATGTAAGAGTACGCGGACACATACACCTCAAGCCCAAGCTGCTTGCATGCCATCACCTGTTCTGTTTCCCCAGCTCTCACCCCCGAGCAGAGGCCAGGGCACGTAGGCTCCCTAGAGCCTGATGCAAAGCCACCCACTCCCCCTTCAAGCCTTCAGCATCTCTCCTACATGGGTCTTACTCTTTTTTTGGCTCAACAGCAAGTTGGAGACTCACATCCTTCACAGGGGTAAGCTGGCACAGGGCCATCCACCCTCACGTTACTTGCCCTGGAGAGTTTGGTGCCAGCTTCCCGAGCCTGGTGCATACTGTCAACCCAGATGGCCTAATGGCTGGCATTTAAAAAGTGACAGTAGCAACAAGCAATCCCAATCAACCAGACCTGAGCTCCAGGATGGTCAGTGGCAAGTGAGCTGAACTGAGAGCAATTCCTGGCTCTGAAACAGCTCCCTGCAAACCTTTGGCAGGTCACGTAGCCTCTCACTGCCCCTCTCTGCCTGTACAACTGATGCTGCATACACACCCACCTCAAAGAGCACCGGAGGGACACAAAGCTGAGATGGGGATGTAAAGTCTCATTTTAAAACACTCTATGGGATTTCTGTGCTACCGAGTGAGGAAAACAAGGCAGCAGCTACTCCCCTGCTTGGACCTCTGACACCGGGAAATCAGCATCTTCCTCCCCAGAGCAGGAAAGGGATGATTTCCCTTGGCGTCTCTGAGGGCTGCTGATTAACTCAAAAGAAGAGTCCAGCCCTGCAGTCCTGCAGAGAGAGGACAGCAGTGACAGCAGGATGCCTGAGAAAGCAGGAGGTGCAATGAAAAGATCCGTCAGGATCTGAGCAAGAAGGGACAGCACTGCTGCAGCCTGCGTCTCTCCTTGTTGCACACACACACACACACACACACTCCTCTCTAAAAGAAGTAAACAAATCCCCCCAGGGAAAGCTCACGTCCTGCTGTGATTGCACACTCTCTCACCTGATGCGATCCCCATCCTTCTTCTTCAGCTCTGCATCTCTCTGCAGAACCTTCATCAGCTTCTCATACTCCTCCTCGGTCAGGAAGCTCAAGTCCAACATCTTCCCTGCAATATTCTTCAGTTCTTCAGACAGCTGAAACAATGACAGACCAGGAACTAATCCAGCCCAGACTGCCGCAATGCCATGGGCAGCCCCTGTACAGCCCGCCCCGGTGCGCTGAGCGAGACGCGGCTGGAGAAGAAGGACTTCACGACAGCATGGCTTGGGTGGAAGTTGCGTTAGCACCTGGACTTGCACTTCCAAGCTCTTTGCTGGCACGTTTCTCTGCGCTGCATGCCTTCCCCTGCCAGGAAAATTCTCTCAGCAAAATTATGCTCCTTCGCTTTTCTTCAGGCACAGTCGCAGCGATTTGGAAGCCAACGTCAATCAAACAGGCAAGCACGGGAAGGAGCGAGCTTGCCGCCCGCCTTAGCTGCCTCAACAGGCACGAAAGCTCCTCTCACCAACGGCAACCCCAGCACCTCTGGCATGCGCTTTCTTCAACCGGGAAGTCTGCCTCCGTGGAGTTCAAGCATCCCTGCAAAGAAATAACACCGAGATGCCTTTTATGATAAGCACGACATATGGTAACCGAATGCGTACATTGGGGGTTTTTATTTGTTCTTCAGCACAAGTTCCAAAACAAGCTGCCCTACTTTCCTCCCCGTCCTACAGCTCCCCACGCGGTATTATCCTAACCAAGACAATATTTTATTTTAGCCGCTTTCCTACTAACAGGTAAACAGTTGACTCAGCACGCTACAAGCAAAATATGCATGTAAATTACCAAACGCTTGCTTGCTTTTTACCTCCATTCTTCTTTTCCTCACTTCTTTCTGCCGTAAATGAGACCGAGGATAAGCAGCCAACCTTTGTAAAGCAATTGGAAAATGATAGAACAGCAACCTGCAAGTGTTATTGCTGCATGTTATGCTATAAAATACCAGAGGCTGCTCATTTTCTAATGTGCACGCACTTTACTTTATGCTGCACTGGTATTTGCTATTCAAACAGTACAGGTGCAGATCACTTAGTGCTTCAACAGAAGTCGAAAATGGCCAGAGGCTGCAGGGCGTGGAGGAAGAGTAAATCCTGTGTTGCTTTGCTACTTTATTCCTTTTCCTCTCTCCTGACCAACTTGAGGGCAATAAGGCACACCTCCTAGGGAGCAGAAGTTCTGCTTGTGTCCATGCAGGCAGTTTCTAGCTCACCAGATTGGATTTTTCCACTGCTTCTAAGCCCGTCAGGTGACTGTGGGTTTCATCATACTTGGCTTTTTCTCCCAATGTCACAGCCTTGGGAGTCAGGTCATTAAAAATGAATAAATCCCAGCTTTCATGGCAAACAGGATGGCAACCACCACCCTCCCGGGCCACCTATTTCAGGGTTTAGCTACTGGCAAGCAACTTCTTCCTATTGCCTACCCTAGATCTCCCTGATAGACGTCAGCCTGTCCCATCCACCGTGGGGATGCTCCCTTTGCAGCCGTCCTCACGGGGTTTTACGCTTCAGCCTCCACGTTAACCAACCCCAGCTCCTTCAGGTTCCTCAGAGCTGGCTGGGGTCTTCCATCGTTTTTGTCACTCTTCTTTGGACTGTCTCCACACGGTGCACCTCTTCCTTCAACTGGCATACCCAAAGTCGAGCACAAGTATTTCAGGTGAACTTTGCTTATTTGACATCATTTACATTATTTTATGGATGATACATTCCCAAATGTTTGCCTTTTTCATAATGGCGTAACAACATGTTAGAAGAAAGAATAGGCATCTGACCTTAATGCTTACAAAGAAATACCACAGAACACCACATAAAAAGGCTCACAAAAGGAATGGCCATTGACATAAAAACTCTGTAATTATTTGAAAATAATTTTTGGAGGGAAGGAAACAACCTTTCATGTTTCTTTGAGGCAAGTATGGCTGTGCTTGTCACGCTACAATTACAGCCTTTATCATCTGAGAAACTACCGATACGACTCTAAATAGTTAAACCAGAAAGAGTAATAAAAAGCCCTGATGAATCTCTACTGTTTAAACCTACATTTCATCCAGCTTCCCACGGCACTTCCACGCTTGGTTCCAACCATCTATTCTCTCTGGCTCTCAGGCATAATCCTACTTCTATAAAGACATTTACAGAAATTTCTGGGACAGATTTTATTTTTAAGAAAGTATCTAGGGACACAGTTTTCACAGTATTTGCTTCTCTAGAACTTTTATTTATTTTTAACAAACCCATGACGTGTGGGCTGAAAGTACTTCAGAAAACATTTTCAGCAAAGACTCATATTTATTCATCAGTATGGTAGTCAATTAGAATAAAGGCTACTTCTTTGCAAATAGCCTTTTTTTTCCCCTGAGAATGTTCTACCTTACTGCAATAGTTACATTAGAAGGAAAAGGTTAACAGAAACCAAACAGCCAACACCTCCTTTTGTTTTAAATAGTTAAAAATCAAACCACTTAATGCACTTGCTATGGGAAAGTGAGGTGATCCAGAAGACCGCTCCACCTGGAGGCTTTGCTGGCAGTCTCAGGAGCTGCAAAGCTGTCGACCCAGGCCTGCAGGAGTAAACAGGGCTGGGAAAAGATCTCCATATGTGCCACAGCCCCAGGACTGTCCCTGCTGCCACTTGAGCTTTTGCAGCCTCTGATGGGTGCACGGTGCTGCCGTGTCTTGGATGCTGCCGAGGTTTGAAAGAGGAGGACCCCACCATGAACCACTCAGGTACACAGCGATGAGGGAGAGCGTGTTATTTTGTTTAATTGGGTCTGCAAGCGCAATAGATTAAGGATAAAAATCAACTGACATGTACAGTATGTTATCAGGATCAGGCAGGTATCCTGCGCCATCATCATACACAACCATCGCCCGCTCCTCCAGATTGCTTAATCCTAGAGCTCACGCTTACACTCCTTAAGCAGCACCACACAGCTTTGATTTGCTTTGGTAGATTGCACATAATCCTCTCCCCTCTCAAAGCCTTGTTTGGAGACCACAGGATGATGCACTACAAACACCTAAATCAACAGATCCGTAAGAAAGCCAGGACCCCGTGGGTCTCGCACAGACGGGGCCGCTTTCTGTGTGTCCTGCCCTGCCCTCGCCTCGCCACCCCTGCAAACAGCAGGGAAGGGAAACACAAAAGCCTTGCGGATTTGTAGGGCAACGATGGGAGTCATCGGGCAGCGCTGGGGCAGATTTTACCCTAGACTGGGAGCTCTTTAAGTGCAAGCACCTTTATTAGCCCATCGACATAAATTGGTTTTGGACAAACTGTGAAAAGCAAAAAGAAAGTTGCGCTCTTCTTCCCTCCTGCTGATGGGAGACCCCTTCTAGGTCAGGATTGTGCCCTGGCAACAGGAGCAAAACAGAGGGTCATGAAAGAGCGAATCGTTTGTGTCCGGATTAGCAGCATCTGCTTAAAGACTGATGCGGCACACCGTGCAGAGCAAACTCAGGCTGCTCTCAAGCACTGCACCACCACGATGCCCCAGTGCAGGGGCAGCAGCCCTGCCGGGACCTGCCACTTGTCAGTGGATGGGCAAAATGGATTATCACGGCTACAGGAAAGACCATAAATCTGAGCAGAGGAGCACACTGGATGTCCAAAGGACTTTCTTCCCTCTAACTGCTTTTCTGGGGAAGAGAATATCACAAAGAGATGGACTCGCACACCCAGCTGTGTTGACAAATGCTGGGTGTGGAGACAAGCAGAATCATGACCTACCATATGGCATAACTGGCTGCATCTCTTACTGTGATAGCTTTTGATTTCTTGTGGCCGCCTCCCCAAGAAGCAGCGAATGCTCCAGTCACCGGAGAAGATCTGCGATGGTAAGTTACCCAGCCGTGCAGCTTGTCAAACCCAGAGCCCAAGCACAGGCGAAGTGAGGCCTGTTCTGTTAAAACACCATACTGGGATGCGCACATCTTATCTCCCAGGAGATTTTCAGTGTCCAGTTTAAAAATACAGAAAATGCCATACTCGGCTAGACTGACCGTCCTGTAACACACCAGTTTATCTTCAACAAGTGCTAACAGCATACGGCTAGAGAAGGTACGGCGAGCCGTCCTGCGCTCCAGCTTCCTGCAAGGTACAGGGCAGGGACTCCCCAAAACAGGAGCAACGTCTCTGCATTCCACAGATTTTTCTAATTACTTCCTGAACTCACATTAATTTTAAGCATTTGCAGTATCCTCAAAGCCCCACAGTCCCACAGCCTCACTACGCTTTAAATGCAAAAGTATCTGCCCTTGTTTTGTTTTGACCCACCGCTTGCTTCATTTGATATCCCCAAGCATTTTATGAGAAAACCCAGTAAGGATTACTCTGCATTCACCTACTCCATGTTGCTCATTTTACAGACCTGTGTCACAGCCACGGTTTTCCTTCCAGAGGAAGGACATTTGTTGTTTGCTGGTTCCAGGTGTTACTCAGGGAGCTTTGGTCATTCCTCACACCCCTCTCTGCCCCCCATCTAGCTTACTACAGAACTGCTTAGCAGTGTTTAGGTACAAAAAGGCTTTTTCCAACACCTGCAGCCCCTGGTATCTTCACCTGTGAGACTGGTTTTACAGTGCCAGGAGAGGTGGTGTAAGCTGGTGGGAGACAGGCAATGCCAGCCTTCACACGGGGCACAGCTAACAGCTCTGCCAACCCCTTGGAGAGAGGCGAGCTCTGATCACCTGCAGAAAAGCTAAGAAGGATACTAATAAAATGAATAAACCTTCCCTTTGTCAGCTGCTTGGACTGTGCACCAGCAAAGGGAGAACAGCAGTCCCATGTGTTTTGGAGCGGACAGCCAGGGAAAGGCCAGGTGCTGAGTGTGAATCCGGAGAGACTCCCCTTTACATCAGCTGAGACATGGAAATTTGTGATCTGTCCAAAAGTGCCCCCTTCGGCAAAGCGTCAAGTGGTGGAATGACATGCATTCCCCTAGCACCAACCCAATATCCAACCCCTAAAAGTGAAGGGGCAAACAAACACCAACCTTTCTCCAGCAGAGCGCAACGTCCTCTTGCAGGGAGCACACCTGCATCGGGGCACTCCGAGGGAAAGCGCGTTCGGACAGCCTGCAGCCTGGACAATGCTCATTTCCCTGTTCCTCGGTGCTCTGCAGCGTGTCCCCGCACAAGTGATCAAAACCAACTGAATTACCTGTGCCAGAGGTCCTGGGTCCTCTCACTCGGAGTCTGCTGGCCACGCAGGTCATGGGCATGCAGCTGTGCCCTCAAGGAAAAGCTCAAAAAGGTGTAGCTCTGGAGTGCTTTCCAAAATAAATAGTTTGACTAATCCCATGTAGGGTTTC